TTATTACTGAGCGCACCTCGCAGCTCGCGGGATTTTCAATTAACGCAGACATTTCAAACCGTCACAGTATCTGAACGGAGCACAGCACGAACCTCTCACTAGCACGGCTAGATGCAGACTGAGCTGCGCAACGCTCTGACCCCAAGATGGCCGCGCTAGCCCCGCCCCTAGCGGACACAGACGGAAACGTAATCTACTTCCTGGATGGCCCTCGTATATAGGAGCTCTAGAAAAAATTATCCTATAAATTAGCATAGAAGATTATACTGTTGGCTAAATAAGAGACGTATTTGTAGCACATAGTGATATAAGTAATGACAAGTCGTAAAAGAGAAGTTGTGAGAACAAGACCATGTCTTAAAGATGCTTATACCTTTATTCAGGGCCCACCAGCGGCCGAGGGGTAAAGACGCTAAACACTGGTAGTTCGGTCCGAGGTTCGAATCCCGCGAATGGGCTGGCTGCATGGCGTTTTAGTGTTTTTCTATGTGTAACGTGTATACGAGCCAGTTTCCCTTAGAAAGTCCTCCACAAAGGCATCTCTCCCTTTAGGCAGATAGCCACTGCGTGCTGTGCCATAATTAAATAATCCAATCCAATCCTTTATTCAGGTTGGCTGTAATTCGAAAAGGCTGAAACCTTTCTAAAGGGGCATGTGTGAACCCCTGTGAAGATCAGTTTCTAATTTGAAAAAAAAAACAGCTTTCATAAGGGTGAGAAACTGGCATGCCTAGAATTTAATTTGGAGGTGAGGTGCAATCACCATCGTAATGTCAAAACTGCCATTGTACTCTTTTTCTTATTTTATCATAATTTTGTCATTTAAAAATTAAATTTAATCTTAAATCATAAAGTTAAAAGTTATATCAGGTTATTTAAGTATAATGCATGACATTCATTCATTTGCATTTGTATAATTGCTATGTTATTAATTATGAAAATTTAATAAAATACCAATTAACAATTGACATTATTTTACCAAAGTAAAGATATTCCTAAAACCCACTTTTTAATTCACATCAAATTACATATTAATGTTCATTCTGTGTTTTGTTTTTAGGAACATTTTAAACTTTATATATACAACAAATATAATCCATTTAAACATATTTCACATGTCCTATTTCTTAAATACCTTTTTAGACATTTTAGTGTAAAAGAAGTGATCTTTTCACAGTGCATGTGGCTATGGGTAATAATATTAAGATTTTGATAACTGTAAATATTAGGGAGAAATCTCTTTTCAAGGGCCTCTAAAGCTTTATTGCAGATGTTCTGCACTTAATGCAATTTTCTTTGCCAAAATTGATACACATTTACAATACCAGTATTACAGTTTAAAAGTTGGAAGAATACATATTTAAAAGCATCTGTAGTTTTTCTTCCCATTCCATTATTTATGTTTAATAAAGTGTTCTGCCATGAAGGATTTCTTATGATGACTTTACAGTCGCAATTGGTATAAACCAAACCTCATTGCTAGACAACAAGATCTTGTTTCATCACTTAAACTGACAAAAGAATTTTTTCTATATATTCTAACATTTCAACTGTGCTCCAAGATGGTGTAAGAGTCGACCAATCACTGTGAAGTAAACTCAAACTGACATCCGGTTTACCAAAATTTTCTTTCCATATGCTAAAAATAGATGTTGTTGATGATACTCATAAACCCAAAGATTACATTTAGGGTTATTTGAATTAAGAATAACTGATTTGTTATTCACAGAAACCCAGAACCAGTGTATGGCTATGCCGAGTTGCAGAATTTAGGACCCCTAGAGACTGCATCAGGCGGTAAGATATCTTGCGCCAGCCCTCAATAAGGCTCAAGTATATGTGGGAATTTATTTATTCAGAACTCTGATAAGCATGCGCAAGAAACAGACATAAGTATAATAAATGCCTAAACTAATGCAATCCTGGCTTAATGGTCTTAGTGAGTGATAGAAGCAAGATAAAATTTAATTTAATGGAACAACTTGTCGTTTGTCATCATCATGAGCTTGATGACAAACGACAAGTTGTTCCATTAAGCCAAATATGGATAGTGAAGCATAGCTAAATTTGATGATGATAGCCACTAATTTTAAAGATTTTCGGATTTCGCGAAACAAAGGTGGAATTTTCCAATAAACGGATTTTGTGAAGAAGCAGTAATAAATGAAGATGATATAAAAGAAGTTTTTCATTGTGATGACAATGCTTCTCAATCATCAATCAATTAATGAATGGCAAAATCTGTAGAGTATGGTTCTAGATCCATAAACTACCACTACCGTTAGTGAAGAAGGTGACAGAGAAGTTACTGAAAACGAGACAATTTTAATTGACAAGTTAGTCAGAATTCTCGAAACAGCAGTTACAGGACTTTAATAATTACAGAACTAAAGAGAAAGTATTAGTACAAAAAATGAAGCAACTTAAACAACTTACATTGAAAGAAATGTTTAATAAGGTAAACAAATAAATATTAAGCTTTTTTTTCGCAAATTTTGATAGCCTTTAGATCATAGATACTTCATTATTTCATAAATTGCGATTTCATATTTTTAATTTTATAATTTCTACATGCCATCTTACTGGATTTAAACTGATGATCTAATATCCATAAAAATCCCAAATCCAGAATCGCCGAAGTACCAACAAGTCCGGATTTCGGACTTTGTACTGTAATTTACCATGACATTAACCAAATCCTCTCCGCATAATACACTACAGGTACAAATTGTAAAAAAAATTCTATTAAAGTAGTTTTTGCATGTGCCTCACATAAATAGATGCCTACTCTTCTGAAGAAATGTTGTAGTTTCATCAGCTATAATTGAAAAGAGTTTGCTTGCGTTCACGTTTTTCAGCAATCAGTTCCAAAACAACGTTATTGCAAACATTTGTGATTTCATTTTATATATTTTGTAAAATATGTGGTGCTTTGTTACTGCGGGATGCTAAATGAATTTTTAGTATACTATCTCCTGTATCTGTTCGAATCTGAAGAATTGGTGAAAGTTTCCTTAATTTTGATGAAATTCAACACTGTCTCATTTACATAAGAGGAAATCTGTTTTTCCCACAGAAGATCACTGTTTTATTAGAATAAGCTGCTATTGATTTTCTTTAGCTTGATAAGCACTAGTGATATCATTGGCATTCACCATGGATTGTTTTTGGTTATAAACTACAGTCAAAAGTCGTTAATTCGGACACCCATAATCCGGAATGATCTATAATCCGGACCTCAAAGCTACAAACTTTCTGCGCATGCGTCGCGTTCACATATGCGCACAGGCGTTTACGAGAGCGCGTAAAGACCCTTACGGCTGCGAATATGTTTTTGCGCATGCGCGTTTAATGTGTAACGGAGTTATACGCTAAGCTAAAGTATCTAATTCAGTTAATGTTGCAGATTGCGTTGTTCCTTAATCTTCGAATTGGATCCGGCTTATTATTTTTTGCAGACTGTTAGAGCAATTTTATAAAAGTAAGCTTGAACTTTCGATTATGTCAAATAGAATTTCCGATATATATTTACTACAAAGCGAAAGTATGTTTTTGAAATCCGAAATCTGTTTATCAATTTCACGCTGCTCTGCGGCAGAGGGGGGGGCAGAAAACGTCATTATTAGATTTATCATAGATTAGAAAGATTATGTCAAATAGAATTTCCCATATATATTTACTAATATGTAATTTGTATCTACAAAGCGAAAGTATGTTTTGAAATCCGAAATTTGTTTATCAATTTCACGCTGCGGATTGGAAGTTGATCTGTCAGCACTATCCTTATCTTCAGGGCAGATGTTTTTATTTTATTTGGCTTATAATTCCTTACTAAATGTAGTATTTCATCTCGATGTACTCCGTCTTTGATATGATTTAAATCAAGTTCCTCGTCATTATAATTCGCTTCCGATAGTGAAGAAAGTGACCCAGAGGTTATTGAAAACGAAAACATTTCGATTGACAAATTAATCGGTATTCTCAACACAGCAATTATAGGACTTGAACAACGGAACTTTGTAACTAAACAAGAAATTATGTCTGTTTAATAGAATTAAAGAGAAAGTATTATCACATGAAACGAAGCAACTTACATTGAAATGTTTAATAAAGTAAACAAATAAATATTAAGCTTTTTCTTTTTGTAAATTTTGATACCCTTTAGATCATAATTGTTCTTTATTTCATAAATTACGGTTTCATATTTTTAATTTTGTAATTTCTTTCTGCATGCCATCTTACCAGATTTAAACTGATGATCTATAATCCGGAAAAATCGATAATCCGGAATCGCCGAAGTCCCAACGAGTCCGGATTAACGACTTTTGACTGTATACTTTTTTAGAACTGTTAAACATAAGTGAAACTCATGATATGCTTTCTCTTTGTAGTCACATATTTTTTTTTTTTTTTTTTTTTTTTTTTTTAAGAATTTCTTTCTCCAATTGTGGAAAGGCTGCCTCACTAATTGTCTTAAAACTTGATTGATTGATTTGGAATGCAATATTTACCATACACCCCACCTTTATTTTTAGAAAAGCCAGACAGCAGCATTCAAATAGTATACGTATATATATTAATATTTTAGTATTGTATATTTAAATTTTATAAATAAGAATGTATATTAAAATTTAAATATACATTTTTATTCATATATTTAAATTTTATAGTTCCATTTAAATGAAGAGCTTAGGAACACATACTTAGAAAATTAAATTATTTGCATGATTTTTCCCTCTTGATTTTTGGATGATAAAATATATAAAAGGAAGTGAAAAAACCTCGTAGGTTATTTTGTGTGGAAATATGGTATTCTTTTCACGAAGCTTCATATATCATTAAGATTGCTATAGTGTATTAAATTTCAGGCCAATATTTACGTTTCATGCTAAGTGACACACTGTTAACAGAAAAGATCAGTTTTTTTTATATTTAAATATGTAATTGTTTAAAAATGTAAATGTGCAAGCTTTAATTCTTTCTTTCTTCCCTAAATCTAGAATCAGCATTAGCCTTGTCACGTACAAAGGATATGCAGAAGATGGTCCAACAGCTTAATAATTTGGCAACTCAAGGAAGATTTACTGATGTTAAATCTAGAAATTGTGTTGAATATGCTCTCAAGCTCACCGTTGATATTAAAAATATTAATCCTTCCACTCATATGCCGTAAGCTTCTTATTCATATGCTATATCCATTATTTTATAGCAACTTGTTTTAATATTTTTATGAGTTTAAATGGTTTCATGATTTTTTTAGATTTATTGATGCATATCATATCTGCCTGTATCAAATATATGGTTATAAGCAATTGGTGTATGATGTTGAAGTGCTGAGAAAAACCCAGTATGATTCTGAGAACAAAGAACATGAGGAAAAGCTGCTAAAGGTATCTTTTTCTTTTAATGTATTTAGGTAGAAATTTTTATTTGAACATAGGATTCATTTAGGATGGGTCATTAAAAATCACTCAAATTGAATTGAAATATTTGGTAAAATTTAGATAAATCACCAAAAATGTCACAAACACTATATTTCTGTAGAATTGAACCGTGAATCTTAATACTGAAGTTAATTTCTTCACAAATAAAAGAAACTAAAATAGTGTCAAACTGAGTTCAATTTCAGATTTTCAGGTTATTCCTGAAAATTGCACATCTAGAAAATGCATTTTAAAAAATATTTAATTTTAAAATAGATTTTAAAGGCATCTGCCCTTTTGTAATACTTTCAAAACATGATGTAATTAAATCGCACCACAGTAATAAATTAGCGTGCTTTTCTTCATGAAAATAATAAGTACACAATATTTCTGAAGCTGAATTAAGATCATTGTAAGTCTTAGTGGTTTTTTGGAGGTGGGGAAAGATTAAAAAGTAAAAAAATTTGAATCATCAATACAGTCAAAAGTCGTAAATCCGGACTCATCGGGACTTCGACGATTCCGGATTATCGATTTTTCCGGATTATAGATCATCAGTTTAAATCTGGTAAGATGGCATGCAGAAATTACAAAATTAAAAATATGAAACCGTAATTTATGAAATAAAGAATAATTATGATCTAAAGGGTATCAAAATTTACAAAAAGAAAAAGCTTAATATTTATTTGTTTACTTTATTAAACATTTCTTTCAATGTAAGTTGTTTAAGTTGCTTCGTTTCATGTGATAATACTTTCCATTTAATTCTATTTAAACAGACATAATTTCTTGTTTAGTTACAAAGTTCCGCTGTTCAAGCCCTATAATTGCTGTGTTGAGAATACCGACTAATTTGTCAATCGAAATGTTTTCGTTTTCAATAACCTCTCTGTCACTTTCTTCACTATCGGAAGCGAATTATAATGACGAGGAACTTGATTTAAATCATATCAAAGACGGTGTTTATCCAGATGAAATACTACATTCAGTAAAGAATTATAAGCCAAATAAAATAAAAACATCTGCCCTGAAGATAAGGATAGTGCTGACAGATGAACTTCCAATTCATTGCACTCCGCTGCGTTTCTGCCCCCTCCCCTGCCGCAGAGCAGCGTGAAATTGATAAACAGATTTCAGATTTTAAAACATACTTTCGCTTTGTAGATCTTTTACATATTAGTAAATATATATCGGAAATTCTATTTGACATAATTGAAAGTTCAAGCTTACTTTTATAAAGTTGATCTAACATTCTGCAAAAAATAATAAGCCGGATCCAATTTAAAGATTAAGGAACAACGCAATCTGCAACATTAACTGAATTAGATAATTTTAGCTTAGTTTATACCGTCCGTTATACATTAAACGCGCATGCGTAAACGTATTATGCGCTTGCGCACACCCATATTCGCAGCCGTAAAGGTCTTACGCGCAGCCGTAAAGGTCTTACGCGCAGGCGTAAACGTTAAAGCGACGCATGCGCAGAAAGTTTGTAGCTTTGAGGTCCGAATTAACAACTTTTGACTGTATTTATTTTCTGTCAGTAATAATTTATACAAGGTCCGGCTATTAATTTCCAGGACTCATGGAATAACTCAGATGGAAAAAAGGTTAAACACATAGCCATTTAATATGATTCAAAGTAATCCCCATCAGCCGTAATGCACGTCTGTGCTCGGCTGTACAAATTTCGGAAAGAAGTTTTACAAGTCCTCTTTTGGAATGCTCTTTAATAGTGACATTAGATTTTTCTTGATGGCTTTGACATCCTGAAATCTTGTTCCCTTCAGCGAATTTTTCAGCTTAGGAAACAGGAAAAAGTATGTGGGTGCTAGGTCTGGAGAGTATGGTGGATGCTGCATTTCAACGACACCATGCTGGGCTAAGAATCGCCTCATAGGCAATGCAATGTGTGGGCGGGCATTATCATGTAGCAGCAGCCAACTCCCATTTTGTTGAAAATGAGGCCTCACTCTACGAATTCGTTTTCGAAGTCGGTCAAGAACTTCTGTGTAGAACTGTCCATTGATAGTCATGTTAGGAGGAAGAAATTCACGATGAATGAGTCCATCGCAATCGAAGAAAGCGATTAACATGACCTTGATTTTGGACTTTTCAAATCGAAATTTTTTCTGCCTTGGTGAACTTAGAGACCACCGTTCGGAGCTTTGACGCTTGGTTTCAGGGTCATATTGATAACACTAAGACTCGTCTCCCGTGACTATCCTATCCAGGAATGCAGTTTGTCGATGCAGCGCCAGCATTGTCGATAAGTTCGCCACATGTGTCCAGTCTCAATTGCTTTTGTTCGTCCCTTAAATGGCGAGGAACTAATCTGGAACAAATATTGCGCTTGCCTAGGTCTTGCGTCAAAATTCACCAAACCATCTCTTTGTCCATGTTCAATTCATTATCGAGTACTCGAATAGTCAATTGACGATCACATTTCACCTTATCGCGACCTTTTTCAATTGCTTCCAGCGTGCGGCCAACCTGTGTGTGGATCACCTTCGATGCTTTTGCGCCCGTCCTGAAAGCGTTTAAACCATTCAAAAGTTCTTGAACGGGATAATGCTTCCTTGCCGTAAACTTGTTTTAACATTTCGTAGTTTCCGCAGCTGTCTTGCCGAATTTGAAGCAAAATTTAATGTTAATTCTTTGCTCTATTTTCACTTCGACAATAGGAATTTAAGAGATATGTTTTAATGCGGCTTTCCACGAGAACGACTTACTTCAGAATGGCGCCGATTGCACTGCATATGCGCAAGAAAACGCTCTTCAATATGCAATCATTAGCGCCATCTTCCGACTTTTCGTTCTCCTACAATTATGTCAGTCCTGGAAATTAATAGCCAGACCTTGTATATTTGCCATAAATTGATATTCTTGGGGTTTTGTGTTATGTTTTGAAAGTGAGAAAATTTATTTCTATAATTGTTGGAAATGGTATAGTGTAATACTGACTGCCCAATATTTTACTTCTTTTGCATTTAAATAATTACATAAAATGTATTGTTGTTCTTATAACATGTTATAGAAATAAAATAACATGGTGATTTCAGGTAGATTAACAGTGCAGTGTTGCTATTAAAATTTTCTCTTTTCTGTAGTTATGGAAACTTTTAAAGCCAGACGAAGAACTACAAAATCGAATTTCTAAGCAGTGGACAGAGATTGGTTTTCAGGGTGATGATCCCAAAACTGATTTTCGAGGCATGGGGATTTTAGGATTGGAAAATTTATTGTAAATTAAAAACATTTTCCATATATTTTTGTATAAAATTAGCTATTTTTAAATGTTATTTTTTAAAGTGGTATTTATATACAAAATGATATGTTTAGATTCTTTGCTTCTGAATATGGTGATGCTGCAAGACATGTTTTACTGCATTCAAATCATCCAAGTTATGGGTAAGTTGAGGATAATTTATATTTTTATATTCATATATGTCATGAACTGTTGTAGATTTTAAAATAGTATTAAAACTCTTCATGTATAAGAATTTATGTGATGAGATAACTGGCCTTATGAATATATAGAATAGGAGATTTTCTGTATACTAGCTTGTCTAGATATGCAGAATATGAGGTCATTCATAATATTAGTCATGTTAAATTTTTATTCTTAAATTTAAAATAGGTTTCTAAGGATGCGATCAGTGAATGCATGTCTGTATGCATATATCTGGTTTGCTGCGTGGAAGATGATTGTAATAGCTATTTTATTTTTTAGAATAAAGTAAAAGTGTTTATGATAAAAGTTCTTTCTTTCCTTGCATTTTCAGGTACTCATTTGCCATTGTAGGTATAAACTTGACTAGCATGGCCTATCATATGCTGAAAGATCTAAGTCTTAAGGTACATTTGTATAATGCCGTAAGAGGAAGACCACATATCAAGCATTTCCATTATGTGTATTGTAAGTATATAATATGTACAAACCTTTACTTAATTTTCATTTAAGTTAAAGAAAGTAATACAGTCAAAAGTCGTTAATCCGGACTCGTCGGGACTTCGGTGATTCCGGATTATAGGTCATCAGTTTAAATCTGGTAAGATAGCATGCAGAAATTTTAAAATTAAAAATATGAAACCGTAATTTATGAAATAAAGAACAATTATTATCTAAAAGGTATCAAAATTTACAAAAAAAAAAAAAAAAAAAAAAAAAAGCTTAATATTTATTTGTTTATTTTATTAAACATTTTTTCAATGTAAGTTGTTTAAGTTGCTTCGTTTTTTATGTGATAATACATTCTCTTTAATTCTATAAACAGACATAATTTCTTGTTCAGTTACAAAGTTCCGCTGTTCAAGTCCTATAATTGCTGTGTCAAGAATGCCGACTAATTTGTCAATCGAAATTTTTTCGTTTTCAATGACCTCTGTCACTTTCTTCGCTATCAGAAGCGAATTATAATGACGAGGAATTTGATTTAAATCATATCAAAGACGGAGTACATCGAGATGAAATACTACATTTAGTAAGGAATTATAAGCCAAATAAAATAAAACATCTGCCCTGAAAATAAGGATAGTGCTGACAGATCAACTTCCAATTCATTGCGTGCTGCGGCGTCCCCCCCCCTTGCCGCAGAGCAACTTGAAAGTTTGATAAACAGATTTCAGAATGGTTAGAGAATACAAAGGATATGCCTTTACCCTTTTTTGCAGCAATTCCACTTTTTGTTTGATGGACTTCGAAACATACTTTCCGCTTTGTAGATCCTTTACATATTAGTAAATAGTACATATTGGAAATTCTATTTGACATAATCGAAAAGTTCAAGCTTACTTTTATAAAATTGCTCTAACAGTTTGCAAAAAATAATAAGCCGAATCCAATTCAAAGATTAAGGAACAACGCAATCTGCAACATTAACTGAATTAGATAATTTTAGCTTAACTTTATTAAACAAATATACATCCGTTATACATTAAACGCACATTTGTAAACTTATTTTGCACACACGCATATTCGCAACCGTAAAGGTCTTATGCCGTAAGGGTCAACGCGACGCATGCGCAGAAAGTTTGTAGCTTTGAGGTCCTGGTTATGGGTGTCCGAATTAACGACTTTTGACTGTACACATGCACATTTTCTAGTATATTTAGTAAATATCTTTTTCCTTTTTTTTTCTTTTCTTCAGTGGGGATGAAGAAAAATTTAAGAGGGAGCTGAACTAAAGAATCTATACTATTAAAATTTGTGTGCGGCTGAAAAACTCGGAAAAACACTCATTTTTCCGAGTGGCAACAGTCTTGCACTCTGGAGATGAAAATCATCTTTATTTTGAAAAGTGTTCCCACTGCTCGCTTTCAAATCGTAGACTTAAATAATTAATAATGTAATAAATAATTAATAAAAAAATTTGTAAGTTTTACAAAATAGGAAATAAAAATAGCATTGCCAAACTTTAAGCATATTATTATACAAAGTCATATTGTGATGTTTAAGAAAGCATGCAACTGCATGTGGAAAATAATTTAAAGAGAGAAGTGTTGAAAATAATAGTAATGAGAATTTTTAATTTTGGATAATTCAAAAATTTATAACTAGAGGGGTATATCGAGCAGTATATCTTGAACTGATAACTTCTGTGTCAACAGAGTAGGTGGATGGGGAGAATGCTGGAGAATGCTTGGTGCGTATTGTTAAGGAGGTTTTAAAATGAAATCTCGGAAGAGTTGGTTTATGTTATGGGGAAATGTGCATAGTTTTGTGTAGCTGTGAACATATCATTAGTAAGAGATGTCTAGCATATTTATCTGAGGACCTGAATGAACCTGTTCCATTATCACCAGCTCATTATCATTTTCTTCGTGATAACAGTACCACTGATTTTAGCATTATCGATTAAAACCATTTAAGAAAGCAAATACGCCACATGCAGAATGATAGAGATAGTTTTCGGAGGAGATTCCAAGGAGAATATCTTTCTTACCTTGTTAAGAGTCTGAATATTAAACAAAGACACATTTTCAAGTAGAAGGCGTTGTTCCTGTAGGATCTAACTGTATAGTGCAAGTGGCTTTGCTCAAGTTAGCAAACAGCGAGATTGTTTGACCCTTGCAACATGTATATACCCTTTGGAGGTGACATCTTCGGATATATCTCTCTATCTTCCAGATAAAATTGAGACTGATGGTGCATCCAGTAATATTACAGTTTGATGTCAGACTTCGGATTTTGAATGCAGAAGATGATAATGTTCATCCATTTTCGGAACAAGTTTGTACACGAGGTGCTCATTGATAAGTAAAGAAAGCTGAAAGGATAGATTTGTAATTAACTGAATATTTAATTAATTTCTTACAAGTACTGTAAGTTTATTGTGTTAGTATACTCAATTTTGGTATTTGTAATTTAGTCTTTCAAATTAAATTAGCAAGACTTAAGTTGGGAGTATGTTATAAACTGATATTGTTATTGTCCATGTTAAATTAAATAATAGTTTTTCATTATTCCTATTTTGCATTTGGTAACAGAATAAGAACTGTATGGAATTTGTATGTTTATATTTGAATATGTTATTGAGTATGGTGATCATGTTTTTTATAATCAAAATAAGTTAGATGTATATATACTCATAAATGACTGATTTTAGTATATTTCTAGAAGAGGTTTTCTTACTCCATAAGGAATAGGTGATATGGTTGCACTGGAAATGGGAAATGCAATGTATTTTTTGCAGGTGTTTTTATTATTTTGTTTCCTATCTGTTGATAATGCTCAGCACTTCTGTGTTTTGAAATGTAAGTTGATAGTGCAGTGAGCTCCTTCACTTAGTTTGCACTGAGTTTACTCCCATGCTTTTCAGCAAACTTTGCTCAGCACCAACAGAAACCAACACACCATATCTTATAATAACACAAAAAAGCAATATTAAAAAAATTAAAATCAATTCCTATTTAGGTCAACAAAGAAAAATTTTATTTTACTTGCTTTATGATAACATTTTTCCATTTCTAATTTATGAAGCTGATGGTGGTATATAATTTCTCATTCTATCCATCTCTTGTAATGCTTCATTATTGCAAGGAACCTTTCCAGTGAGTTTCGAGCAGTCAAGTTCTTCAATTAATATTCCATCTAATGATTTTGCACGACTCAAGGCGACATATGCTTGACCTGCTGCAAAGAGTTTTCGTCCTAGATATATTACTGCATAATCTAGCGTGCTACCTTGCACCTTATGTACTGTTGTTGCCCATGATAGTATTAATGGTAACATTCCTTGTTCATCAGTACCATAGCTGCGTTTGGAGGGGTATTGCACTGATATTAGCTTGATTTTGTGGACATCATTATTGCCAAAGTTCACATTGACTGATGGAATGTCTTTTTGATACATTTGTGTGTGGCAGAAATTAGGCCATTGAATTTTTGGTGATGAATTCAATCGTATCATTAACCAAACCCTTCTTCACATCAATAATTGATCTTAACATCACTTTAGTCAATTTGCACTACATAATGGGACATTACATCCGCTTCATGCAACTCTATAAAACTACAGTTCTTTAATTCCATACAATTTAAAAATCTTTAGAGCTCTGTCTTACTGTTGCCACTTATTTTTGTTAAATATTACAACTCCATTGATTACAGTCATGTACTATTATTTATAAGTTGTTATAAAATTAATTTTTACAGCACGTGAGAATTCCTAATTAACGGTCGTTATTTTGAAGTCTTATAATATACTTGAAAAACAGCATATCTTTAGTTCAGAAAAACAGAAATAAATCAGTAGGAATTGATTTTAATATGTGAAAAAACTGTATTAACATCAAGTGTCATCCACTACAAGTTTAAAAAAAAAAAAGCATTTGAACTTGAGTGGATGAATAAAAAATATTTTATTAACGATTGAAAATTTGAAAAAGATACAGGAAGTGTGTGAGATAATTAATAGTAGGGATTTAAAAAGAGAATATAATCAACGTTCCAAAGGCTTCCATATTTAGATTGTGCACCAGTTTAATTCATGTTTGTATTTGGTTTTGGCAGATTCATCAAAGTTGTTCCTCACAGTTGTCAAATTCTTGCACTGATCCTCCTTTTCATACTTCCTCCTTCCAAATTCTGAATCACATCAGGCAAATACTTATAACCATTTAATAGTATAATAAATACAATATATATTTTGTTTTGTTTCATGGAAGAAAACTGCACATTTGATCCAAGTTCCTTACTTTCTTGTAATAGAGAATACTTGCTTGTAATGGGGTTTGAAATAAGTAAAGTGAAGTGACTTTTAAGTTAAAAACATTATGATTATGGGCTTTTAAAGGAATTTTCTTTGTAATAACATTGAAGTTATTTACCTTGTTGTATGCCTTTCTGATTTTCTTAACAAATTCATTGTAGACCATGTATATATGCAACATGATTAAGTTTGTGATATTTGAGCTTGAAGTGTTAGAAATCATGTAACACCTTTCATTACAAGCATGCATTCCAGCCATGACTTCAAAGATCATCTCTTTTATTTCCTTAAAAACATCTGTGAATGGCTTTATGTAATTTTTTCCATGTGCTCTCTGACAGTGCTGAACTTTCCATGTACACACTCACAAAAAAAAAGAGGGGACAGTTCTGTATCTCCTGTTCTACTGGGCCAAATGACGAAATTCAAACTGTGTTTTTCATGTTTCGAAAGTGCATCTTAAGATATATATTAGACTTATATATAGCATTGTTCTAACATAAGTATTTTGACACAAAATCGTAATTTTTTTTTCTATATTTCGATTCTATGACTCAAATTATGTTTAGATATTAAATTTTGTAATTTTTGGAGAGAAATTTAAAAATTTATCTTGGCAGATTTTTTTCAGTTTGCACGAAGAATAATTCACTTGGCGGAGTTCTTAATTTATAGTAGCCTATTTACTTTCCTTATTTTACATTGATGCACAAGAAGAAAAAAGGTCCATCGTTCATTCTTTCAGATAATTTTAACAAAGTGCATAAACCACATTTTTGTTATTATCGTTTATATCAACTACGCCAAATTTCAGAACATGCCAAAATGTAAATTCACATATACTTGGGAAATATTGAATAAAAAACTCAAATTTTTTGTAGGTATGCTTAGAAATACATCTACTTAAAAATAATGTTATAAATTATAGTACAAAAAATTTTTAGAAACATTTATAAAAAATATTTTAAAAATACAAAAATTTAAAATAAGTAATAAAAAATGTGCGAATTATATTTGGATTCAGCCTGAATTTCGAATTCTGGAAGAAGGGATCAAGTACATTTGAGAAAAAAAGAGATATTAATGAATACATATCAAATTCAGTTAATATTGAGGAGCTAAAATTTTGAGAGCTGCGTCTGGCATAATTTGAGTCGTAGAATCGAAATATGGAAAAATATTGGCATGTCATTTCGGAAAAAGTCCAATTTTTTTTTTAGAATACTTGTATTAAAACAATGTTATGTATAAATCTGAAACATATCCTAAGTCACGCTTTTGGGACATGAAAGACACAAGTTGAATTTTATCAATTGGCTCAGTAGAACAGGAGATATAGAACTGTCACATTTTCTCTCTTTCTTTCCTTCTTTTTTTTTTTTTTTTTGTGTGTGTGTGTGTGTGTGTGTGTACTTCTTGAGAAGTACTTTAAATGTAGGAGTATTTACTTCATAGCCTTGAAGTAATGAAAATTTTTTACTGAATTCATTAGATGATTTTATGCTTTTCAGTACCAAAATTAAGGCATAAGGCAGTTTCCTGTTCATGAGTTTTTTCTGTATTACCTCTGGAACCATAACATTATTCATAAGCAAGGACGAGGAGGTAAAAGGTGCTGGATACCAAAGAAAGAGGGAAAAGATGGCACTCCCAAAAAATATGCAATAAAGTGCATTTAATTTGCATGTTTTGATACCCTGACATGCAAATCTCAAACTGTGTCTGTGAAAGTGCTGCACCTTAAAATCTTTTCTTCAACTTCCAAATTATATTCTGCAATGGAAGTCAGCTTGTCTTAAAACTAAATTTAACTTGGGAGTGATCATAACATTAAAATTTTTGGCTATTTTTGATGAGTGCAGAATATAATATGCATGTAATTCAATGCCAGGTAGACATGCTGATCACTTAAGAGCATGCATGTGGTAATAATCCCTTTATATATAATACTTATTGCCATCTTTTATTCTGTGAACTGGTTGGGCTGTTGTTGTTATGGTAGAATAATAATCTTGTAGTGATTATGTTTTGTATTCATAGATTTAATTTTTTAAATTATAATAAATACTGTGAAATTCCTTACATGTTTATTTATTCAAATGAGTATACATTTATAACTTGAATGATGTATTTTGTTTTAAATAGTTTGCTAAATTTTTCTGTGCTAGTGCTTTTTCCTTGCTAAGTTTGTCTTTATTTTCCAGGCTACCTTTTTTATGAATTTGACAAGTTTTGGCTTTCTGAAAAACCAAGAGATATAATGGAATTCAGTAGAATTAGAGCTAAGTTTGAATCTGAAATATTAAAAAGACTTGAAAATCCTAAAACCAAGTTAAAATTAAGTTTCATTGTTGAAACCTTGTGATACTATGTAGTTTTAAGAAATTATTGCAATTGTAATTTTTTTTTTATATTTTGACAATTTATATAAGAGAAAAAAAAGCAACTAATTTTATGAACTGCAAACATGTTTTATTTATATTTGTGATGCTTCAATTTTCTTTTTCTTTTTTGGTGTGTATGTGTTAGTGTGCGTGTGTGTGTGCATCAGCATTTTAAAACTAATTATTTGAATTATAAAAAAATACGGAAAAAAACTTATAAAAATATTTTCATAAGTGCTAAAATGAAAGATATTTTGCATCATGTTAACATTGTGAAGTTTTTTTAATTAAAATTTGTAATTTTCATATTGACAGCTGTGCTAATTTGAAGCACTCCATACCTGTTTCTTTAAGAATTGCAGAAAAGGTGTAAGTTTTTAGACTTTGTTGCTCAGGTAAATGTCATTAAGTGTATTTTTGAATTACTGCCCTCCTGCACTGTATATATTTGAAATTAATTTTTCATTAAATTCTGTATTAAATAGCTAATTAGTTCTGTACTTCATCGTGTAATCTCTATGCTTCATCTTTATAGTGTGAGTGTAAAGTTTGTTTTGGATCATCACTTCATTTCTTTCACTTGCGTAATGTGAATTTGAAATATATATAATTTAGAATTTTTTCAATAGTATAAATTGATGTATCTGAGATAACAATCATTTTAAAATGGCTTATCTGTGTAAAAGTTTTTGCCAATTTATATAGCATAGTAGATTGGCTTGCTTAGTGACAAAGCATATTATAATCTGTTACTTTATAATAAGCACAGGATCATGCCCTCCACAGCTTTCCTTAACAATATTAATGGCATTTGCAATAAATGAGTCCCCCAACTGTTTTTGGTTAACGTATTTCATAGAATTCAAGTGTATATGTAAAACAAAGTGCTAAAAGATGAAATTTCTTTGTGTGGAAAAAATATGAAGCGAATTCAAAATGTAGTTCAAGCCTACCATGCTGCAATAATAGTTAATTTCTTGTTTTTTATTCATGAATCTCAGAATAATAATAAGAAAGTCATAAATTCTATTTCGTATGACTTTTATTTTTATGTTCCATATGTATTTTGAATACAAATTTTTTAATGGCATTATTTCATTATTTTTTTCAAATAACATTTGTGTTTTTGAGGAATGAACATCTTTTAAAAAATAACGGGAGAAAAAACTGAAAGCTTTCAGATTTTATATTACATCCAAAGGGGCTTTTTTTAACGTTTTGTCTGATACCTTTATTTATTAAATATCATGTTCTTTGCACTTAAACCATAAAATTCAATTCAACGACGGTATCACAAAATATTTAAAAGAGCATATCTTTAAAATTTCTGATACACAAGTCTCGTGTGCTGGAGATAATTTTTCCCCCCATACAGTGTTGCCATTGCTCACATTGAAATCACTGAGTTTCTTACTCAAAAACTCATAAATGCTTTACAAAATATGAAATAGATAATAAAACAAATCCTAAATTTGGGCTTTCGGATGCCCATATTCGGGTGGAGACGTACGTTATTCAAAATTGGATGGCTCTAGGTACCATCGTTTTACCATAGTGTTAAAAACATACTTGCATTTATGCAGATTCTTCATTATTTAATTTCTTTAAATATGATACTGGGCTCTAATATTTGGTGGCAACAATTTAAAAAGTGATTTGATGTTTATAGTGAATGAATGCAAAATGCCAAAACGAAATTAATAGCCCTTCTGGACAAATTGCCCCTTTGGGTTAATAAATAGCCTTATCATGACCTTTTTTCATACTTTACACCTAAACAGCATTAGCCTAGCATTCTATAAAATGCCTAGATATTCTATAGAATGTCATACTTTGCCGGTAATATATATATTATCATACATATATAGATATATATATACAATTTTTTTTAAAAGGAAAATTTTAAATTCCTTCCAAGAATTTTCATTCATTATGCCACTGAAAATTGGTCAGTAAAAAATATATAAAGAAATTTAGAACTAATTTTTCACAAAGACTAAAAATTGAAATTGAAATGAACTTCATAAAATCCTATAAATGTAGAATGAGAATATTTTAAAATGTAAAAATTAAAACATCACAAGAAAAAACCAAAATATATATAAGAACAAGAAAAAAAAAGGAATCCAGTGAACTTCGACATACCATCATCAGGAGGAGGTATGTTGAACTTAATTGCAGTTCCCTTTCTAAAAATTTGTTCTTTGTAATAATTAGTTCTAAATTTTTTTATATATTGTATAATAAATAACAAACTTGAAAACATTAATATACATTTTTCTTGACTTTTATGTAACGTTATGTTATGAAAATTTATTTATATTCATCCACTAATGGCCTAATGATTAAAGCTACAGAGCAACTTTAGGTCACTTTAGTATGCTCTCGTCAGTTAAAGGAAATGACTACAAAAACTTGTTTACATATGAAATATATAAATTAAGAATCCTCCATAAAAGTATTCTACTTCCATAGGCAGGTAAGTCTATAATCTGTTGCTTTAAAACAGGCACTTCAAAAAAACTTTTCACACTCTTTTATTTACACTCGTAACACATATTATCATCACTATCCAGCACTTACTTTCTTCACTTCCTTTAAGTCAACTTTCATTTGCGCACGTATCAAACAAAATTTATGCATTTCTTATTAAAGAAAATAAAATTCATATATAAAAAGTAAGAAATTAACTTTTTATTGCAACATGGTAGGATTGAATCACATTTTGAATTCGCTTCATATTTTTTCCACGCAAAGAAATTTCAGGTTTCGGTACTTTGTTTTACATATACACTTGACTTCTATTAGATTGAGTAACTACAACTGACCAGAGAGGAATTTTGTGGTCAGGAATATCTTCAGGTCTAAGCAGGTTCTTAGAATATAAAATGAACTGTGATTTCGTGCATAAGTTGTTTTAAAATTCTTTCAGAAGTTTCAAATTAGTAGAAATTATTCTCTGTCATACTCATTATAACTACCAATATATTGCACGAATTATTATGTACTCTTCCTTGGCATTGTATTTAATATAGTGATGTATTTCATATTTTGCCACTTTGTCATAAAGGCAATATTTGAAATGTTTAATCGTTCCATACATTATTGCTGGCCAGTTTTGGGCATTCTATAAAATGCCAGATTTCATGCTTTGCCGATAACATGCACATATATATATATATATATATATATAATTTGTTATTAGAAAATTTTCTTTTGCATATCATCTCCAAGACACATAAATTTAATTAATGCGATGAATTATTGGAATAAATTTGTGTCAGTATTTTAAGTAATTTAGATTTCTATTGTAGTAAAAATATTTTAAAAAGCTGTATAGAAATATTGTTTTAAACTGGAAAATTCTGAAATGTAAAATTTAAAGTACTATAAATTGTTATTGACTGTAGATTAATTGACTTGCCAAGGGAAACAAACAATAATTTGTTTTCCTTGGAGATGATATATAAAAAAACTTTTCTAATAATAAATTATTGATTTATTACCTGGCAGCTTTGGTGCAAGTATTCGGCTTTTTTGAATTTGCTTATAATTACATACATATTATACATTTGATTTTTGCCTCATGCCATATGAGGTTATTCAATGTAATGATTAGGGAATATGACTTTTCTGCTATTAAGAGTAGACTGTTTTTTTTCCTCAAATGTCTTCTTTAACATGTTGGTTGATTGTTTTTTTCCTCGAAAGTTTTCTTTAACATGCCGGTTGTTCACAGTACCCTTTTTTCAAGATTATTTGATTTTTAAAAAGTAGCTGAGATAGTTTATTTCTTTTGTATCCCTCCAAATATAAGCATTGTTTGGATGAAAATTCCTTTTTGATGGTATCTTGTGTTTAACTGACTGCTGTCTTTTGCATTTTCTAAAGGATACATTTTTTAACACTTATGATTATTAGACTAAAAAATTGGTCTTTTTTTAACCTGAAGGTGTGAGAAATACGTATGTTGATTATTATTTTTTAATTCTTATTCAACAATTTGTGCAATACTCATTTACTCAGAAGCTTTTCGTTAGTTTTTCTATGCAAAAAAAGTCATTGGATGATTGAAGCTGCTCAGGTGGATCTGTTTTGAACTAGAAATTTATTTTGTCAGTGCACATGTAAATAAAAGCACATTACTTATGGGATCAATCAATATAGGAATGAAGTATTTGTTGCCGTTTGGGACTGTCTGTGTAAGAAGTATGAACTAAGATTAAACTTTAAGTTCTGTGGAAAGTTGCTAGGAAAGGAAGAATAAAAAATAAATATATAAGTAAGATCAAATCAGGAGTGATTGACGTCTAGATATATCCAGAATTCAGGATTTAAAAAAAATTTTTTTTTAATCTGGAATTTCTGGATTTGTGGAATGTTCACTCATTTCTCTCATATATCATTCAAAGATTACATAAATTGAAAACTCTTAGACTATGGTCCTATCCTATTCAACATCAGGATATGTGTAAATAGTTGTACTGATTGGGTCCATTCTGTTGATTCTGAGTTCTGAAACAGAGAAAACTGATATTATAAACTTTTTAGAGGAGATGGCAAACAGAAACACCCAGTATTTATAAAACTTATTATCTCCATTTTAACTTGCTTCTATGAATTCATTGTTGACAGTTCATTTACTTATATGGCTGATATTGTGATAGAATATAAAACATCCCCCCCAATCCTGCCAGCCTGGCTGAGGAGACTATAAAATATTATTTATTCTCATTACACAAAATTACATGTGAAGCTTTAAAAAAAGAAAATTCCTCTGAAGATCTTAAAGATCTTAACCTTAAAGATCTTAAGCCACTGTCTGCATCAAAATGTCTTGCTGATTATACTGAGATTTAAATTGTTACCAAATATATGTATATAAATGTAGCAGTTTCCCCAAAAAGGAAGCTAAACTTTTCAATTACTTGCAAAAATGTCTGTGAGAAATGATTTGGTGAAACTTAATTTTTGATAAACTTTAAAAATATAGACTTTTTGCTTCACTAATGAAATTATTTGAAAATGTATACATAATTTATGTGTATCATGTATGTGTATCATGTTAACA